TGTGCCAAGGGAAGTTCAGATTGGATATTAGAAGGAATTTCTTTACTGAGGGGGTTGTCAGCCATTGGCACAGGCTGCCCAGGGAGGTGGTTGAGTCACCGTCCCTGGAGGCGTTTAAGAGACGGGTAGACATAATGCTGAGGGACATAGTTTAGTGGTGCTGATAGGGCTAGGGCAAAGGTTGGACTCAATGATTTTGAAGGTCTCTTCCTACTGAAAGGAAGATTCTATGATTCTATGATTAAGTATATTTAATTGTTTTTACAACAAAGTGAAGCTGATAGGAAAATATGAGGAGTTTCTGGTTTGTCGCTTGTATTTTACTGGGATTTTTCAAAGCTGTAGTACAGATGCAGATGTTATCTGAAGAACTGCAGTATTAACAGTGCTCCTTTTACTTACCATAAATTATATATTTTTTAATGTCCTAAGATAAATCATTAAATATTTTTTTAATTTGCCCACACAAGTTTTTTTAAGGACTTAATTATCCTTTTTTTTCTCGATGCTTGTTTTAAATATAGGATAAATTTTTATTTGGTGAAACACAAAGTTTTTATGATTTTTGTTTCATTTTTTCTTCTTCATAGTCTCAGGATAAAACTACTGGTGGAGTTAACCCAGAACCATGTCCGATCTGTGCACGTCACCTGGGAAAGCAGGTAAGATAGTTAGTCAAGCGGGTTTTGGTTTTAGAATGTCTTTACCCAGGTCTGAGTTGGTTGTGTGTCAAGTGTTCAACATTTGTTGTATTGAAGCAGGAAAAATAAGCTCTTTCCTGCAATGTACTAGAGAGCCTCTGCCCTGAAATAACATCTTGCTCAGATGAGAGTAGCTCTGCTACCTTTAGCTGTTGACATCAGTGCTTAAGTGTTTCAACAAAAGTGTTCCAAAAACATGCTGCTGATTGTTTTATAACTGAAGTTTTTCTGACAGAAGTATGAAAGCAAAATTTCTTGCCATCTGTAGTAAACTGTTGTATTTTGCTGTAACTGCTCTTACTGGTAGTAGCATTTTTTTTTTTTTCTGGACTTTAAAGACATAGGTATTAGCTACTTAAACAGTAGTAAAACCCAGTAGAATAAAGACTGGCAATCTGGATTTTTTTCCCCCTGCTGAGCTGCAGGAGTTGAAATTTCTGTAAGATTTTATTAAAACTGATCTGTATCATAATGTAAAAGCTATAGTTTGTTGTTTACTTACCATGCATTAGGCAAAAACATGAAAGGACCCCAGTACAGTCAAACTACATTGGTTCTGGTTTTAGGGTAGCTATTTTAAGGTGGTTTAGCTTCTAGAGTCAGCTTTGCAGACATGTGTAAGCATGAGCCAGTGTCCTGCCATGTTTTCAAAACCCCCTCTGCACTCTTCTTCCAAGGAAGATACCAGTTTTTACAGAGAACAGTTGTTTTTTCCTGTAAACTGCCATTATGCTTCATTTCTGAGCTGGAGGAACTGAAAGATAGTATTTTCTTTAACTTTGGCTGAGACTGCCACTTCAGATGATAGTAGCTATCATGTTGCAAGGAACTTTTAGAATGCTTTGCATATTTCTGCATGCTTGGAAGTACCTTACAAAGCCTAGAGATTGAGTGCACCCTCAGTATGTTTGTGGTGCAAAACCAGTAGTTTGCAAATTTTACTCTTTTATGTGAGGTCACAGCTGACATGTAGAGGTTCTAGGGCCATGAAGAAAGAACAGCTTCTGCAATGCAATCTTTTGTTTCTATGCTTTTTGTCAACAAAAGAGTAAGCCTCCTCATCCAAAATCTTCTTTCTTCTTAAATCCAAAGATGTTGTCTAGAACTTCACAATAGCAAAAAATTAAAGCACTTTATTTGGGACTTCTTTAATAAAGGCTGATCAGGTATGAATCTATAGATAAAAACTTTTACAGAAGGCCTATACAATTGTGTAGTATTTTTTAAATTATGTAAATACTTAATCTGTTTATTTAACCTATGCATTAAAAATTATCATTCATAGAAATGAAAGATTGTAATGTCTTCCCTCAAGTTTAGAACTGGGAAAATGCAAAAAAAAAAAAGAAAAAAGAAAATAATGCAGGGAACTTCTGTGGATCATGAATCTTTCTGTGCTGGAAAACTTTGAGACCCAGGCTTTTCAGCAGCTTGGATGCTAAGAATTCTAAAATTCTGTTTTAATCTGATGAGTTTCATGAAAAAATAGTAATGTTTCTGTGAGTGTGATTTATCATGTGCTAGCAAACTGTTGTTGTTCTGCATTGATCACACTGTGTTGTGTTGTTTTTTTTTTAATTCCTTGCACAGTGGGCAGTGCTGACTTGTGGACATTGTTTTTGCAATGAGTGTATCGCTATCATCATAGAACAGTACAGCGTTGGCACCTGCCGGAGCTCAATTAAATGTGCCATTTGCAGGCAGACAACATCTCATAAAGAAATATCGTATGTCTTCACTGCAGAAAGTGCCAATCAGGAGGATGATACTCCTCTAAAGGTACGTTGTTTAAATGAGCTTTGTGGTCCAAACTTTCTGCAGGTGCTTTCATGGCACTTAGTTGCATTTAGGTGGATAAATCTGTTACATAGGTTTATAAGTAGGTTCACTTCTATAATTTGCTATAATTAGGTATTGTTCTTTTTCGGTTGAATTGGACGTGATGTATATAGGTCTTTCCTACAGTGTAATCAATGGCTTTGCATCCTCCCCCAAGGAAGGATACACATTTTCTTGTCGAGTAAAAGGGCATTTGTGGGTTGTGGGGTTTGGTGTTTTGTTTTGGTTTTTTTTAACTTACCCTTTCCTTAACTTTTAGGAGTTTTGGAAACAAACGTGAATGGAAATGGTGTGAGGGAGGCCGTCTTTTTAACACCTGCTCTTTAAATGTGCCTGGGGAAAGGCTTTGCAGATAGATTATAGAATTGCACATCTGTTCACCTGTTACAGTAATGCTGTCTTGGGCTGTAGGGAGGGACAGCTTTTCTGAGCTTCAGTTATATGGTTTGGATTTTTTTTGTTTTGGGGATTTTTTTTTTAAAGCACTTGACACTGGGTAGAAATCGGTTCTGTATGCAGGTGATTAGCTGGAATTTTTGTTGTGGTATTTTTGGCTTTTTGTAGCTAAGGAGAGGTGAGGTACTTTTTCTGTGTTTGCTTGAAAGGAGTATTTTGAGAAAGCTGCCTGTAATGTAAGGCTGTTAGGACAGTGTAAATATTTTAAATTTATAAGTATTCATTCTTAGCCAGAGAACATAAATACCAATTCTGAATTTAGGATTAGTCATCTAGAATGCTTCTTGAGCTGCCTGAGTAGTTGTTTGCAGTTTGCATATCTATGTATGCGATACAAACCACATTTAGAAGGAGAAAAACCCTTACTTTTTTGAATGTTAAATCCTGAAGGGAGATTATATCTATGCTCCCACTGTCTAACTTGTCCACTAATAAATTAGTGGACAGGTTCTAATGAGTATATTCAGTAGCTTGACCCAAAGAGTATTCAGTAATAAATCAAATCACAGTAGAGACAATAGAAAAAATTTTAATCCTGTAAAAAAATATTTATCAGAACCAGTGCTTTTCATTGGAACCTGTTGCCCATTAATTTGTTTTTTGGGGATTTTTGGGGATGTTGCCCATTAATTTGTTTCTCTGGTGTGACACTGAGGACATTCTCTTTTGCCTAAAAGTGTATCATTAGTAACATGATTGTGAGGCAACTTTCTTCAAGCTCATGTCCAATTTTTTTGGTCTTGTGGGGTGTAATAATTTTTTCCATATTCTAAATGAGTGCTGACTCTGCAGCTGAATGCTCTGTAAGTATTCTTTCTAGTTTTTCTTTGTTTTGTTTGAAAAGTCAAAAGGAAAACTGTGGAAAATTGAGTGCCTCTTGCTTATCTGCATTTTGAACTTGGTATTCAGTTAAAGGCTCACATATCTACTGAAAAAGATGATTGTTGAATAAAGAGTGACTTTGGTCCTAAAACAGCTCCCTGCCTGGGCAATTTTCTTAAGGTTTTCCACTGACAAAAGTTGTAGTCTTAATCTGGTTGGTATAGTTAAACGTAATAATGAAATGTGCTGGCCGAGACTTTCATGGTACCTGTGCAAGTCTCCTTGCAGCTGTACTAGGATTGCTGGTCTTTGCTGAAGTCATTTTCACTCTGGTTATGTCAGCCTACCTGGACAACTGGAATTCCATTTCATGAATAGAAAGAAGCTTCCTAACCCATATTATTAGATTGGAGGCAGTTGACAGCATGTGGCACCAGGGGGAGTAAATAGGCTGTATTTTTGAAGTGCTAGTTGTTAGGACCTTGCTTCATACGCATTTTTTAACAGATTATTTCCTCAGGGTTTAGAGGTATCACCCCGTTTCTAATGAGAACACTTCATATATGTTTTATCAATTACATTTAAAAAAATAAACAGAATAACTAAATTTTATAAATAGAACATAAAAGGAACATGTTACCTACTCTCCTGTCTAAAAGGTTGTAGTATTTTTTTTGAAGTATTATGCATCAAAAACTTCAGGCAAAGCAAAAACGAATTCTGTCTGAATTGACATGTCATCCTGAGCAAGGCCCCCATTCTTATTTCATGAAAAATTATCAACTTATGTCGCTTCCCTGTATGTACTATCAAAACAAGCAGCATTGTTAAAATTTCTGCCTCATATTTCTTTAGGGACGGTTAACAGGGAATAACTAAATTACTATGGTTTCTATACAGTGAGGTTAAGTTCAATATCTTGCAGTATAGGTATGAAAATTGTGTGATTTATTCTCTGTTTACATTTTCATCTGAACTTTCTCAGTCCCTTTTGTCTCTTTCAGTATTCAGTACCTCTTTTTTTTTTCCTAGTGTCATATTCATCTTGTTCTTTATTGTACCAATACTAACCATCTTAAGTTAATGCCTTAAATGCAAAAGGGCTACTGTAAACAGGATCATTTTATACTGAGAGAGAGCTTACTGGCATCCTTGCATGTTTTGGTTCTGGTGAAAGCTTCCAGTGCCTGGTCAGTATTACAGTGGGTGGTATTTCTGTCTCAGATGACAGACTGGCAATAATTTGTTAGAGGGTAGTTTTGATTCTCATGTGTGCTGTTCCATGATTATTTGTAACTGTTTATAAATATTCATCTGGATATGCAAAAAAATGCCACACATGAGGTGTATGGGTAATGAGTGGGGTAACTTTCTTTTTCTTTTAAGAGACAGATTGAAAACCAAGAACTCACACTAATTTCATCCCTCTGTAAATATTGAGAATAGAACTGAAATATTTTGTGTGCTGTGAACCAAAGCTTTCGTCAATTGTTAGCTCAATGCAAGTCTAATTTAGTTCGTCTAACACAATGTAAGCGGAGGGATGGAGAACTTTGCACACTCATTTATCTTGGTTAAAAAATAGAGCAAGAAGACTGCAACCACTTTAATCGTTGTGCTGTGCTTCACTGTAGTTCCTCTAATCTTGCACAAAGTAACATTTTGTAATACCTGAGTCACAGGAAGTCTGAAGGGTGGCAAAATCAACAACAGTGGCTAAAGCTACTCTGTGTTACAGCAGGGAAAAACAGGACCTATGGTAAGGCCCCCAAAAAAATGTCTAAGGAAGAGAGTGGATTAGCTAGAATTCTCATAATTGAATCTGAGATGAATGGTATCAGAAAAGCGTAGAACTGATGCCCGGATATATAGGAAATGCCAAAAGTTAGTCTCAGATCTCCTGACTGTAGGTGGTTACGATTAGCAGGCAGCTGCCGTAGGGCTGCAAATGTGTCATTCATCTTTGCAGATCATAACACCTTCTGACATGAGCATTTTTGTGTCTCTGACTTTTGGAAACAGTGTTAATGTTTACCAGGTGCGACAGAGAGAACAGGAACAAAGCTGGTTTAGTTCTGTGTCTGTGACGCAGAGTTGGAATCACTGTGGAAGACAATAAAATGGTCCTAGTTTTTGCAGCCCCTGGTGAAACAGTCTGCAGAATGTATTTCTGTATTTCTGGAGCATTCATTTAGCCAAATAACGTATGAATGATCAAGCAACCCAGCACTGGCTCCCAGCTTGTGTTTAGACTGCTACCATCCTTCCCCACCAATCCTGCAGCAACATAACTTCAGTAAATTTGATCTGTCATTGTAGCCAGCCAACATAGTCAATTCAATGTTCAGAGGACAGGTGCAGACAGAAATAAAACAGTATTTGTCCAGCTGAACCTACTGCAGCTTGAAATTTCTATGCATGTAGGAATGAGTAAGGGATTAAATAAGGGCTTCTTTAAAAAAACACATTAGGTAGAATTACTGTAATACAAAGTACATACTGAAGGAAATAAAAGGAGATACAAAACAACTGTTTCTTGGAATACTCTTCCCAATTTAAGGGAAAGGGAGGAGTACAGAAATCAAAGTGGACAAGTAGAAATGTAGGATTGGATTCATTAAGTACTGAAATACTTCTGAATGCAGAATATGAAGATGTTTTCATTGCAGTGTGCAATCCTTCAAGAAGTAATTTCATTATATTTACCAATAGCTTATTTTTTTAAAATATAATCAACAAGCTTCATAATGCTTGAGCATAAATTTGACATTGTCAGAGCAAGAAAGGAAAGCAAGAGAAAAAGCATTTCAGGTAGATTTTTTGCATTGCCAGTTTTCAGGAGGTGTGAAGGGAGGGAAACTTTTAATGTGTGTTTGGAAGATTGTACCATTAAGTTCAACCTCAGGCGGCCTAACTGGTGTGTTTGGTGCGGATGCAGTGCTGGGACTCACCTGCCCTGCCTCATGCAGGGCGAGAGGCAGGGGTGTCTGTGGGGCACTTCATTCTCCTGTGCCTGCACGTGCTGTCGTGCACTGCTAATCCGCTGGCAGCATGTTGTAAGGGAGGTTTAAGAGCAGTTCAGTGCTGCTTAACCTGTCTTTCCTCCAGACTATTAACTTTTTTAATTTGTGTAAGATATGTAAGAGACCTAATATAGAATTATTAAATAAAGCAATGGATGTGGAAGGAGTTGTTTAATATCCTACTTTGCTAATCGTCTTCTCTGACTTTTCAAAGGGAAGTCACTCCACCAAAGTGGAAGCTGTGGTCCGAACACTGAAGAGCATTCAATTTGAAGATCCGGGGGCTAAATCCTTGGTTTTCTCAACGGTATTAATCACCATTTTCTGTATTGTCATTGTGTGTGTCTATGAGTTTAAAAGTGGTCATAATATTTTCAGGAATTAGTTTAGATACCAAAATGTTGAATCACCCTGTACAGTTACTTGATTGTTTTGAGAATTTGTAGGGCAATTCATGTAACGGGGACATGAACAATGATTGTACTCAACAGATGTAAAAAGCTAGTTTCTTTAAAGGGCCAACATTCAGATTTATATGGGAGCATAGAAATTTTAGATTTTTTTTACAATTTAATGTCCAGATATTTTTGATACGTGTAAAACTAGTTTTGTGATGGCTACCAATTTCTTTAATTCAAGCTGATCTTTAATTACCTTTCTTACTTAGTTCTATGAAAGATTTGGTTCCTGGCATGCAAATCTTTTTTTTTTTTTTTTTTTTTTTTTGGAAATGCTAGTGTTTTGAAAGGCCTTTTTAGCTACTCTGTCTTAGGGAATGTAGTTAGTATATTTGACTTGTCATTGCTGTTCGTAATGTTGAATTACTTTTATTGTGTTGTTTGTTTTCTTGTTTGTTTTTTTTAAAGTGGCAAGATATGTTGGACATAATTGCAAAAGCTTTGTATGACAACAACATGATTTTTTCTCAGATCAATGGAATTAGTAAATTTCAGGTACATAAAGGCTATTTTTCTTTACATTATTTTCATTGGGAAAACTTAATGCATAGATGTTAATGTGATCCTTTTACTTCATTGCTTCATTGAGAAACTGAAAGAGCAGCAGATTTGTTTAGTGGAAGCTTTGATCTCTAATCATTAATTCTCAAAATCGTAATCATAAAAAGCTGCAATTTAAAGCCTTTGGAGATAAGCAGTACATTTGCTTTGAAAAGGAAGGGTTGTCATGGATGTTAAGGATGAGATACACTGATAAGTGTTGCAAGTTCTTTCCTTCCTGTTCCCTGTAGAATATCTGTTCTGGGATGATGATCTTGGATCAGTCGGGGTGCGAGACTATCGCTCTGGGGCCTGTAGTAGCTGCTATAATTTCCTGAAAATACAGAGAAGTCCCTCACACTCTTTACTGAGGAACACTTGTCATGCTGCTGTGATGTCTGCCTTTTAGGAAAATCTCTCGGCATTTAAATATGATCCCAACATCAATATTTTGCTGCTGCCTCTTCACACTGGTTCCAATGGACTAAACATCATCGAAGCAACTCATGTTCTGCTTGTGGAACCCATTCTGAATCCTGCACATGAGCTACAGGCTATTGGCAGAGTACATCGTATTGGCCAAACAAAGTAAGAGTTACAATCCCGTCGAGTGGTTTAGATATGGTCCAGAATAGAACTGCATACTGTAGTCAGAATAAATCTAGTTCATTAACTTCCCAATTTTGGAGGTGAAGGTATTCATAGGAGTCCTGTTTTTAAAGATGATCATACAAGGAATAGAAGGAGTAAATTCTAAAAAGTTTGCTGAAAATACACAATGTGTATTTTAAGGAGTTCTTTTTGTGCCACAGGGGTAAGATGGAGAAGCAAATTGCATTTAATTTAGGAGGAGTGTAGGCTCTTGAATGCAAAATCCTGAAAAACCTTGTTCATATCTTTTCTTTCATTGTTGTAGATTTTACATGCATAGTACTGAACACTTAACAAAGATTTTGTAAAGTTTGTCCTGAGCAGATGAGATGTGTATGTTTTTCCTAAGGTTTCATGTCACTTGAAAAAAAAACATAATTAAAAGCCCCTGTACATGAAGAATCAATCCTAGAATAATAACATTCTAGAATAATAGTGGGGTTTGTGTTCTGGAAATGGAGGCAAAGCAAGAAGGAATGAATGAGCACGTAAGTGAAAGAGTGTTTATCAACAGGTGGATGTTTGGGGGTGTTGGCAAAGATTTTGAATTAACTGTGAGGACATAGGGAAGATCGATTGCAACAGCCTGCATTATAATTTTACACGATGCTGACACGCAAGGTCTGGAAAAAAACCTTTGCAATAAAACCAGCAAGAATGTGTGCTGTACTACTTAAGGATAAGACTTCAGCAAGGCTTATTTGAAAAAGGGCTGTGTTCAAGTACCGTGGGCATAAGGGAATACTCTGTTTAGTTTCACTGGGGCAACTATTACTACTTTAGCTTTCGTAATTACTTCTCTTTTTTTGGATAGACCTGTGTCTACGAATCACAAAGTATTCCCCAGCATTCCTCTGTGTAAAGCTACAGGCCAAAGTTTCAGCATAAGATCTGAAAACCATCCAAGCACATTCAGGGGTTCATATCTTGAAAAATGTTTATACTGGGGAGCCTGGAGTGGTTTTTTCATTGTTATCTTTGGAGCTGATATTTTTCCATTTCACTTTCTTGTGCCTGACATTTCTTTTATTACAGCTTTCTTTTTGAAATTTTATTTTGTAAATGGAGTTCCCGTTTTATGATTACTGAAATTTTGGTTTTTAATGTTCTACCATTTAATTTCATGTTTACTGACTATAATTATGGGCTTAAAAAATATATAGTATTTTTCCATCTTCAAGAATAATATTGTTAAAACACTGGGAATGAGCTTTAATTATTCGCCATACTGAGCTCTGTCTCTTGGACTAACTTGTGACAATACAGTAAAAGCACTGTATATAATCAGTGGGTCAAATTAATTTCTTTAAAGGACAGGCTAGGCTCTTGAGGACTATTTGTTTATAGTAGGGACTTACAAAGCAGAACTTTGCTCAGCATCTGCTTTAGGATTTTAGTTCATGCAGCTTGTCCATTTAGTATGTGATCCAGCCAAGTGGAAATGTGTGCTCTGGGAGGCACTAAGCATCCTTAAATGTCAGTGGAAGTTGTTAATCACCTTGTAAGATTTCTTTCTGAAAATCCAGAGGCATTTTTTCGGCACTCTTACAATACTTAGTGTGAGACAAAAATGTGGTCTTGAACTTGGACATTAACAGCTTAACTTTTGTTCACTTCTTTTTTTTGTTTTTGTTTTTTTTAAACACATTTAGACCTACCATTGTTCATAGGTTCCTGATAAAAGCAACAATAGAAGAGAGACTGCAGACTATGCTGCAAACTCTAGATATAAGGTATGCGTTGATTTTAAAATGTTTTAAATGTCATTATTGCACTGAAAAGGTGATTCACAACCATATTTTTATTACAGTTAGGTGTGCATATCTTACATATAAACTTCAGATTTTCTTCAATTAGTTTTGATTAACAAAAAAAGTTTTAGGACTTGAAAAAATTATCTTTTAACCTGGTTCACATTACTCAAAACTTAAGGTATTTTAATTCTCTGAATAATCTTTTGGTTATATTTTGTATATTTTATTTCATAAAAGCCCAATTAATAAATTATGTGTTGCAATTTATCTTCTCAGTTTACCTATTTCCATTAATAAAAAAACATTGCAATTAATGGAGTAATACTAAGCCTGCCGCTGGAGTAACAGCATATGTTTTAAGCTCTGTTACAGGGCATTAATCTTTCTTTTTTCTTTCATTACTTTTAAATTCTACAAGCCTAGTCTGTCAGTGCTGTGTCACATTGGTTGGTTTTGCAGTCAGTGCAAGAGTTGTCCAGATACTAGCTTGTAAGTCAGTCTGGTGAGGAGACACAGAAAGCAGTTTTCACTGTGTATATTTTTTCAAAATCTATAAGTAATGATGGACTGGGAGTGGAACAAAAAGGGTATTTACTTTCTTTATGCAGAAAGTAGAAGAGGTATGTACCTCTAACTTTATTGTATGCATGTAACAAGTCTAGGAGGAGGCCTTAGTTTAACAAAATCAGTTTTTTGGGTTTTTTTATTTTTGGCTGTTACAAATTATAAGGCTAAAAATTTAAATGCATACCTTACACTGCAGTTAGGAACTATTTCTGCTTTAGCTTTGAAAGAATCATTTAATCAGTTTCCCTATCTGTAAAGTAGCATTACTTTTGCATATAAAATTCAGATAAATACACAGTAGCTGAATGGTCCAATAAGGGCTAATGTTTTGAAAGTAATATCAAATCTTATGCTTGGAAGCTGAAGCCAGTGCCTGAAATATTGAGGGCAAAGCGGATTATCCCATGTTCTCCTGCCTCGGGAGGGTTTGGTGTTGACCGCTGTTAGGAACAGTAGGTGGACTTTGTATCCTACTGCAAACGTGCAGGAGAAGCAGCTGATCAGCATATCTATTTTTCCTGTAAGAAAGTGGGTTTTCCCGCTGAGATTCAAAGCTGAACCCTTGTTGGACTCCGAACCATGTGGTCTGTCTTGTGTTAAATCTTGTTATTTAAGTTGATTTTTTTTATTCTGATGTCTACAAACAACTTTTTCCCACAGCCACACGAGCTCTTCCATGAAAGAGTCAGAAACCTCAGTTCTGACAGTGGCAGACTTGGATGACCTTTTTACAGAGGAAACCGAAGAACTTGAGTAAAAGCACTGGTTTGGCCTAATGAAATCAGAAAGTACCTGACCTCATGAGCACGAGTGTATAATCCACTTGATCTGTCATTCCTGTAAACATCGTCTAACATTTGTCTGTAATAGAGCTGTTGGAAATTGAAAAGTCTTAATTGTTACTGCTTGTTCTGTAGTGAAGTTCTTAGCAGCACACACTTCTGATTGACAGCACTGGAGAAAACTTGCACTTTGCACATTATACAAAAACATAGACTTTATTCCCAAAGAGAGTTTGAGCTGGATGCTAAAACTGAGATCTTGAACCCTTCGTTGAGAGGATTTTTACCACCAGGTTGGATTGGCTATTAGCTCAGTCTGAGAGCAAAACTGGGTGGGTGGTTGGGTGGGAAGGGGAAGTGGATAAACACAAATCTAATTGTTGGGTTTTTTACTGTACAAAGAATTGTTAGAAAGAATAACTGTAAATTAATATTCTTCTAGAAAGGGCTGGTTAGCATTTAATGCAGAGTTACTGAACGTCTTATTGGTAACACTTTAAATAATTAATCTTTACTTATAGTTTCAATATTTGTATTAGGCTTTTAGATATACATAAAGACTTGTGACAGTCAAACTTCATTGTTAATGCTTACTCACTGCAAAATTATGATAAATTATGCATTTTGTATTTATGTTGGTCTGGTAATCAGTTAAATACTTGAACTTACTGTACATGTCATCACTTATTCTTGAAGTCATAACTAATTTAGTGCTTTATTTTTAAAAACAAGTAATACATTTATTACAGATTTTTTTAAAAAAATTTAATTGGTTAATCTGATGATCACTTTATATCACTTATATCACTTGATGCTTGTGTACATTTTATCACCCTGATTTTTTTTGTTCAGTTCTCCACCTTAAAGATGCAGCAATCTAAATACTCAAAATAAATGAAATTAAGGTAGGCAGTCTAATTAGTAGGTACCTAGCGTAAGCTAGATAATCAGTGGAGGGAGATGAAACTTTTGTGAAACTTTGTCCTGAGATAGATCACTCTACCCTACCTGTACTGACAGTAGAGAGTTTAGAAGAAAAATCTAGGCTAACTTTTAGACTGCTGAAAGTAGGCAAGATAAAATTTAAGCCTTTTGGTGTAGGCTATGGATACGCATTTACATGACACCATTCCTGAAGGTATTGCAGAAGCAGGCGCAGTTACGCAGTTGATGTTAAACATAATTTTGTGTTTAGAGACTGAGCAAATGTATATGCATCAGCAACAGGCTACTTCCCTCAAATTACAATACTTAGTGCTTCAGTAGACGGGGGGGTTGTATATTTTAGAAATCTTACTTTATGTTGAAATCAAAGTGAGCCTTTTAAGAAAGCTTTTAGAATTTCTACTCTAGTCATGTCTATAAACAGATTTACCATATAGTTATTGAGCTTCTTGAGTTTTGTTTTCAGTTATAGTACATTTGAGTTGCACCATTGGGGTATTAAGCCTGTCTACGTGCTGACACACTGCTGACAACAAATGTGACTAAAACTTACATGAATTCCACTCTGTCACGAAGTGGGGTTTTGGCATTTATAGTCTATTGTCCTTTGGAACTGTTTGATACTTTGTTCTAAACACTATTTGAGTAAAAACAGTGTATCTTTATTTCCCATATTTGTAATACGTATTAGTCTTATTTATACATTTTGTTTTGGAGATTAGTGATTTTTTGCAGGTTGCATTTTGCAGCAAAGGAAATTGTAGAACAGATAGTAGATTTAGTTATTTTTCTTAAATGAGATTGATCAAATGGTTTGCACGAGACTGATATCTCCATCCTCGAATGTATTGGGAACTCAGATGACCCTGAGCAACTTGATCTAGTTTCAAAGTTGGCCCTGCTATGAGTGGTGTGTTGGACCAGATGACCTCCATGGATCCCTTCCAGCCTAAATTATTCTACAGTGTACTGGAGATCATGCTGTACAGACGCTCCAGGAACTCTGAGGGCAGCAACATTCCTGTTTCCTCATCGTCCTCAGATAATTTACAACAAAATGTGACTGAAGAAGGAGCTGCTGTTCACTCTGAGAAATAATGTATCTATGTTAAACTGTGGAAGCACATAGTGTTTGCATTCATAGTTGGCATTTAAAATAATTAGATGTGGGAATCATTGTTGTCAGTGAATGTGGAGACAGAGAAGCGAACTGAAAAATATCTGCTATGAGAGGTTTCCCAGACTGCAGGTTTTTGGCTTATTTATGTAAAGATGATGGGTTTGTTGTTTGTTTACAAAAATGGGGCTTTTGGATTCCTAACCGAAAGCGTAGATTCTCAAGTATTGCCTGAGTCTTTAATCCTGATTCATGTGGGTTTTTTACGCTCACATAGTGGCATGGAATGCCAGAGATCTGGTTCCAGGCATTTTCCCAACTGCCCTGGAGTGCCAAGACCTAGGGGTCTGGAGGTATAATGGTAAAATGTGTACGCAAGTTGTGTTAAAGCACCTCTTTTAAATGGGAAGATTGAACCATTGGAGTATACCTTGTGTGTAGTAGTAAAATGTGTTCTTCAGATTTCACATAATATGAAGTAGAGAGACTAAATTTAAAGAATTATTTTGAAAAAGAAACCAAACCAATTTAATGCTTTATGCCATTCTTTGCAACATTTTGTTTCTTTGGCAAAGGTTTTCTTTCAGCTATCTTAAGACACCTCATGACGTAGACTCTTTCTGTTCTTATTTTCTGATAAAGGCGCAGCTTGTACATGTGCTCAGCCTGTTGTTGTGGTGCTGCCATGTTTTTGCTCTCTATCAGATGAACACTCTTTTGAAAAGAGTATCTTAGCTGAGAACAAACTTTGCCCTGTTGTAACAGTAATAGTCCAAATATACTCATAGAAATGACATTGTCCACAAAATGCAGAAGTCTATAAATACTGACTGCAGCATTTACCTAACATTTGTGTGGACATACCAAGAGTTACCTACCAGATTGTCATGTGTTCTCCTGCTAAAACATGTAAACATGATCAGAGTTGAAAGTATTTTTTATCAAGTGAAGTCAGTCCTTTTAAAAAAACCTGTTTTCAAAGAACTCAGTGCTGATGTTTCATCTCTTTCAGTTCCATGACAAAAAATCTTGGGAGTTGTTGGGATTTTTTGGACAGTAATTGGTGAGGATTTCAGGACAGGTTTTTCCTCTGTGTGTGTAAAAGTTCAGTGCTGTCATCTTATTTTGGTATCTGGAAAAGTTTGATGCAAATAGTCAACTTCCTTGAACCACACAATAGGATTGTGTTAGAAACTGAGGAGTGGATTCTCCTTACTGTGTTAAATTGACCTCTCTGAATTTCACTGTGGATTTAAAAGTGAATTTGTAAGTTAAGGTTCTTTTTGCTCTCTAAATCAGTCCATGCCAGGAAAAGGTTTTTATCTTAACTCGTTAGGCTGCATTTTAGCATGCTAATGGAAGTCCAGGACACACAGTATAGTTTTTATACAAGTCAGATAATACAAAGGAGTATTTACCTCAGTCATTTTATGCATATTAAAGTTTCATATTGAAGAGTCAGGACAAGAGTCGATGATACTTTCTGGGAGACAGGTCTTCCAAAAACACTTTTCTGCCAATGTGTAGATACATTCAAGTTATCTGCCAGCAGAGCTCTCTCTGCTTCACACGTAACGGTGCTTTAATACAAATATGAATGGATTCCTACAGAAGAAGAATTGCATAGTTGTTTCTGGTTAAAACCATAATTAGACAAGCTTACTCCTGTGGGATTCTGTCTGGATTAGTGTCTGAAGACCAGACCAGTTAATGACTCTTTACCACTGTCTTTTCTGATACAAAACAATGTTGTCCTCTTTCCATCTCTCTTTTTTTTTTTTTTTTTTTTTTTGGCAGTTCTTATGACTACATTATGTTTTCCAGGAGTCCCAGGATTATTTGTTTAATTAGCAAATGTGCTTCAGTTAAATTGGAGGGGAAGAAGCCTGTATTGGTCAATCTTGCATTGATCAATGCAAGAAAAACTAACCTTGAAATTTATTGTTCCCCCAAGGTAAGGAATTGGATGAATTTCTAAAGGCAAATCTGGAGGTTTTTGTCTAACTATACATGGAGCCTGTTTCTGAAGCTTAATCCAAAGAGTTACTGCTTAAAATCTGTATGATAAGTTATGCTATAGACTGAAAGGGTAGTTGCAAAGCCTCTGTGCCTGTGCTTTTCTTCCTTTTTTGGTTGCCTGAAACAAGTGAGGTCTTTACAGGACTATAAACTATAAATGTAGGTTAAAGGAATTCCATCACGGACAAGAAAAGGAGGTCTAAGACATCCCTGGGTCTCCTCTGTCTGTGTATTTCCCTTTTCTGTCACCTCATCCCTCGCCCCCACCCTCCACTCACTCTGTTCATTGAAAAGAATGTGTTTGATGAGTGGAAGTAGGGTAAAAGATTCATAATTCATAAAATGGCTACAGTAAAACTAGTTGTGTCAAAGTGTTGAAGATAAAGGGAATTCTAACCTGGTACAAATTGTTTTTTGCCTATAATGTCTTTGTTTACCCCTATTCTTCACCACTGTAGAAGTGGAGTTGAATTTCAGTATGTTAACATGTATGTTTCTGACATATAAAGGACTTGGTAATCTAATTACTGAGCAAGCAGTGAGGCTTACAAGTTTTTAGTTGTAAAGTCTATAGGTTTTGGATTCATAAAGTGCACCTGAACCACTGTCCCAAGTCCCGGTGCATTTGCTGTCTTGTCTCCTCTTTGTGAGAGGAGGAGGAAAGAATAGGTAACTACTGAAGTGCGGTAGTACTGAAGTCAAGTCCCAAGCAGTCATTCTAATATTCTACAGTCATACACTGTGTAAAGAGGACAGTTATTTGAACTTGCAGCTTTCAAATGTAGTTAAAGAATTAAGTCATCTGGAGGTGGGGAAGATAAATGATATAGGGTTTCTAGAGTAATTCTACATAGAAAATTGGGATGTGAGTTATCTGTAAACCTCTGCCTCAGT